TTCTTACTAGTTTAGCCATCAGCCAAATTCCAATGATCTGATGTCAGTGAATGCCCTACTCGCTTAGATGCGTTCTCTTTTCACGACAGAATTTCCAAACGAATAATGATCTCTACGTAGGTAACATCGTTACCACCACACAACTGTGAGCATTCAGTGAACCGTTTCAGTAGATTTCCAATGGGCAGTTAATGGTCTGGGATAACGCATGGCACATTATTCGAAACGAATAAAAGATTGAGAACGAAAATTAACCGTGCTCATCAGTGAATCAAGAACTGATATCGCAAAGGCAGTACCACACGCAAACGGTTGCGTCAAGTAGAGTTCCGTGTCTGGATCGTCGTCGTCATCTTGATCCAAAAATTGCACATTCGAATCATTCACTAAAACTTGTAATCGTTACGATTCCGGCTGTACAGCAGCTCCACCTACTAACCAACGAATCACTTGGAGGTTATTTAGTTGGAGCATTTCGCAAGCCGATCATAAGAGCTTATGATTTGCTCATTTTCATTCGTGTATTTAGTGGTAAACAAGAAACCAAAGTGCCAGCATGTTTTGTTGGTTATCGCGTTCGTAAAGTGAACACGACGATACCAAAGAGGAATTTTGACAGAGATGGGAATTTTTCGACCGCCATATCGTCGAAAAAGTACTCAATCGAAGTGATTATTGCGATTGCGATTATTGCAGAGAGTGGTACGAAACTATAAGGCATGTGGCTGAGACTAAAAAGAAATCGAACCAAGTTCTGTGATCATTGGCACGTTCGTGCCAAAACGTGCGCCTTTTTTCTGCAATGAAAGCGGACTACCCAAAGGAGATATTCCACCACCTTTCTGTCGAATCGGATAGAAACCAAGGGTATCATCGAACTGAAATTCAGAATCCCTATTCAGTTCCGTCCAATAGTGCTGAAAATACTATCGCAAAATTTTGAAGCATTTCAAACAAATGTGAGGAATATCAATGGGCTCTAATTTGTTGTTGCAAAATCTCATTGAATCACTCGTGCTTAATGATGTTTTTTTGCCTCATTCAGTTCCCAATGAAATGCTCAGGAAATATTCTTTGCTAGTTCAAAATTTTGATGGCTTCGATAGCGATTTGATAAGCTGTGATATCATAAACTTACTGACAGGACATAACGGGGATGAGGCAAGATGCAATGAGATATTTAATAAGAAAATACAATA